CCCAGACCGATACAGACATGGGAGAGCTCTCGAAAACTGACAACGCAATTACTCCCAAACAAGCTTCTCAGAATCTTACCTTCCTCAAGACACAAGTAGAGAGTTGGTTTGCTGTCTTCTTCAACGTCTTCGGTAGCGTGGACAGGGATAATCGTGGCATGGTGGGCGACGTCATTGGCGTTTGGGCTGGACTCGCAGAGAAGCAAGACATTGCAAAAGCCTATCGGAAGGTTGTCGATCTTTTCCGTCAAAGCCTCCAACAATCGGACAATGGGAACACCACTGCAATGACGGCAAGATCTTCTGATCCTCCTTCTCCCCTTCCTTGATGCACAAGATATCGCCGCTCTGTTCTCGACGTGCCTCGCGCAGGAGGTGCTGTGCCACAAGGACAACGGCGTACAAAAGCGTGGTTACAAAATTCTCGCGAAGCTTCTAGAGAACGGCAAGGTAGAAGAAGATGCGCTCCAGACTTTCCAACGTCTGGATGAGCTTTCTGTTGGGCTTGCACCTGCTGCGAAGAAAGATCGGTTCATTTTGCTTTCTCTGCTGATACTTCGTGTACCTAGTGAATCTCTGCACATTATCCCTTCTCTTATCCCAGAAGCTGTCTTGGGTACGAAGGAGCCATCAGAGAAAGCACGGTCAGCGGCGTTCGAGCTCATCGTTGCTATGGGTCCAAAAGATGAGCCAGGGTGGTATAGTGAAGAGGAGCATGGTGGACGGAATGGATGAGGATGGCGCCGAAGGTAAATCGTGGATGCACTGCTAATCTCAGTTATTGACATACCCTTTGCAGCACAAGCAAGTATTAACGAGTACATGACCATGGTTGCAGGAGGCTTAGCAGGAGCTTCCCCGCACATGATCAGTGCCACCATCACAGCCGTCTCCCGTCTCGTTTTCGAGTTCAGAGGTGTGTAGGTTTGAAGTCGTGACCTCAGTCTATCTAACGATCTGGGCAGAATCCATCGATACCCAGATGCGGACAGAGATCTTCACGACTCTTCTTGTTTTCCTCTCCTCTGCCAATCGTGAGATCATCAAATCTACACTCGGGTACATCAAGCTTGCAATCCATACATCACCTATTGAGCTGCTACGACCACATTTAAAAGACCTCGTCCCTGCACTCCTCGCATGGTCTCATGATCACAAGAACCACTTCAAGGCAAAGGTCCGCCATATCTTCGAGCGGATGATTAGAAGGTTTGGGTGGAATGACGTGTATCAAGCGGCAGGTGAGGATCAGGCCGCAAAGGTGTTGGTGAACATCAAGAAACGGAAGGAAAGGGCTAAGAGGAAGAAATCGCGAGAGGACGATGACGAAGAGGAGGAGGTTGGTTTTCCTGAGCGTCTACCATTCCTATTGCTCACGACAATACCTAGGCGACAAAAGGAAAGGTTCCCACGGGCGATGCCTTTGAGGACGTTTTGTATGGCAGCGAAAGCGAGTTGGATGACAGTGACGAAGACGAGCAGGCATCTCGACCCATGGCTGGACCAAAACGCAAAGGAATTGAACAGGGAGTGCGTCTGCGGGTGGATGATGACGAACCGATGGACCTCTTGCAGGGTGTTGCCTCGCGTCTGACCAGTGGGTGTTCATCATGTGCTCGCATCTGCACTATTTTACCTTTCTACAGATGCCCAAGCAAACCGACGCCGCAAGCCGGGTCAAGATGCAGGTCGCTTTAAAACTGATACTGACACTGGAAAGATTGTTATCAATGAGGACGAGGAGTCTGATATCGAAGTCAGCTCTCGGAAGGCTGCCAAAGACGTTGCTGGCAGTGCATATCGGGAGAGTATGACCTCAGTGGATGGCTTTACTCGCGGATCCCAATGGGCGCATCAAATTCAACAAAGATACTAAAAAGAGACGTCGCGAGAATGAGGACGAAGACTGGAGACGTTGAGATGGCTGATGGCTGCTGCCACTGCTCCGAAGAGGAACAAGCGACCCACGGAGCCAAGACTGGGCCACGAGTTCAAGGCCAAGGTGGGTGTGGTCTGCTGTGTTTGTGCTCACAGGGTCTGATGCTCTATTGCAGAAGGCTGGCGGTGACGTCAAGAAAGGCGGTGTGGACCCGTATGCTTACATGTCGTTGTCTCAAGCCGCCAAGAAAAAAGGCCGGAACCGTACCGGCATTGCTGGAAAACATTGATGAAGTTCAGCGCAGACTACCAAAAAGCGCGTGTAGATTTGTTTTTGGATCATTGCTTGATTTTTGTTATCAACATCTGTACCGAGGCTGTAGAATACGCTTGTCAACCGTACAATGTTTGATCATGAGGGGTACCAAAAAGACCATGACCCCAACTGCTAGGCTGCTTCCAGTTAAGAACGTCTATTTGCAACACCTTGGATACTACAGCTGCCATGAGCTGGGCGTCCGATCTGTTGTCCCCCTCCATGACATATTGCAACAGACACACAGTCGGAATTTGCCATGTCTCGGAAAGCGAGGAAAGGAGGCGACGAGATAGGCCTCCGCCTGGAATGAAAGGTATGGCTGTCCTTTCTGCATCGCTATGCAGGACCTGGGAGACGGGTGAAGTGTAGACGGGTATTGGCAAGGTTGTGAGAGCGGCCAATGGACCAGAAGTCAGATCAGGTATTCCAGGCGGGACGATCTGACAGGTAGGTGTCCTAGAAACATCGGAAGAATATCAATTCGCAGCTCAGATGCCGAATCATTGCAACTCAACAGCATCTGAGGATCAGTCCTGTTGGACATATCCACTCCGCCAATGACGAGGACAGCTGAAGCTCCTGAGGTACGGATGAATTCCAACAGGGAGTCAACAAAATCCTGCTTCGATGACTGGTAGGGAGGCAGGATCAGCACAGTAAAAGTTCACATCTTAGTGGAGGCTTCATTACTTTCAATGCTGGAGATCGCTTGCTGTATGACTGCGACATTAACATCATCGCGGCCAAACACTAGCCTATCTGTTAGCCCAGGCTCTGGAAAACATGCGCGAAGACATACACTCCAGTGGTGTTGTGATGCCAGGAAGATCATCTTCGCGAGCTCCAACGACAGGAACTAGATTCCTAGGGTCGAATATGCCTACGCGATAGCAAGGAAAGTGAAGCGATAAGCAGATCAGCTGCGAGCTGGGCAACGTTCGCAACAGAAACAACGGGCTACCTTGGAGAGTTTGTCTTCAGTGAGTTGTCTTGAATCGGATATCGGCATACGCACAACGACGAGGACTTTGCCCTTTGTACTGAAAGAAGTAGTCGGGTGATAGAATGTCATGGCCTGTGAGGTTGTACAGTAAAGAATTTACTAAAAGTCTTGAGAATTATGATATTGCCGCGCGTCGATTTGGCTCTAGTACTAGGTGTGATTACCCACATAGTCGAATGTCCTGTGGCGTGTCAGTAAGCAAGTTAATTAGCCGTTATTTCCTTATATAACTGGTTGATGGTCACCACGTCAAACTCTGTTCTATCCATCCATCCATCTGCTATATGTATCAGGACGAAACGATTAGTTTCGCGGAAACAATTCGCGCAACGTCCACTGTGTGCGAACTGAGCGCTCACATGCACACTGTCCGGCGTGCGCTTGACAGTCAGCTGTCTGCTGCATAGCAGGATACTTCGTGCATTATAACTCTGCTCTATCTACATGCATATGGTGGGATGGAACGGTTGATCCTATAAAGAAGGAACGACAGTCATCCTTCTATTTAGTCTGCCTAGGGGGGGAGACTACGTCTGCTTGCCATCAGCCGCTCACGAGTTTCGGTTTCAGACAGACCAATGCCGACCGCTGCGACGATGTCTGTATCGCTTTATGGGATATTTTGAAGATGAAGCTTGAAGTATGAGCAACGATCCCGATCAGGTGGAAGTTTAGCACCTTCTGGAGGTGCTGAACATGAAACATCTGCTCCACATTTTTGTTACTTCGATCAATCAAAACAGCAATGAATATCGTCCCTTTTGGACCTTAATTCATAAAAGTCCTGAATGGTAGTATATCTGGCACGAACGCTATCGTCAAACATCCGCCATGTTCGTAAGCTCGCCCATATCCATCCTCGAATACCATGACCTTGGTCTCAAATTTGGTGGCCGTCCATTAATTCGTATCTTATTTCCAGTCATTTTATGGGTTCGTGGATGTCCAATTGGACGATGTCATGATCTAACCTGGACTGTAGTTTCGTAGTTGCCGCCTCTGCTGGGATAGTGTACGATTGGGGTGAGCAAGCTAATATGGACAGACCGCTGATATCTTTATGGTATCTTTAGTACTGTCGTTCGGACAAGAGGTACGTCCATGTCATGACCAGAGGAGGAATGTCACTAAGAGTGGTTCCGTAGGTTGAACTGGTTTGGGTGAGCAGAGTCCTGCACTAGAAGAACAACTTGAAATTACAATCAATTCGTGACAGGCAATGCTGCCCTCTTATGAGTTATGACCGCTCTGTATCTCAGTGTATGTAGCTTGTGTTATATATACTTAAGTGTGGTTGGGAAGGTCGTGCCGACGTGGAGATATCCTAGATGCGCTATGTTGGAATATGTTATATATGTTTGAAAGGCTAAGTAATTGGTGCTGTGCTAATCAGCCATAGTCTCCCCATCAACAGCAATATTAATGCGTTGACTCCGCTGAAGTATGTGCCCCCGTATACACCGTGTCTGTTGCTGCTGAGCTGACTGGCGGCATGCAGTTTGTGTTCCTATGACCTCAATGACAGATGCGGTGAGTATCCCACACCAATACCTGTCATTCCTGTCTAATCAACTGCACTCCCATGTAGGGGTGAGTGAGATTCTTGATCATCTTGTTCAATATAATGACTGCCACATCTACGAGTTGCTTTCGAGTGTTCGATCCTCTGATGCTGATCACTAACTTGAACGTTACTGGATTTGTCAGGCCGCGTTTTGTACTTCGCAGAGATCAGCTAGATGATTATCGTCACAAATGCCATACTTGAGGTATATAGTGGAGGATCAAGCCTATGACAAGTCTCTGGTAGTATATCGGATAGTACACCCGCCTGTCATGTGACCGCGGGAGAGCGGGGTTCGACTCCCCGCCAGAGAGTTTTTTGATTTCTTTTTCACTTGTCACCGCATCCGTCTCTCTTTCTTAATCCATTATCCTCTCTTTTTTCCTTTCACATCACATACACAAATTCAACATACCGGGTACGTCCTGGGGACTGAACGGTCATCCTGGCGGACAGCACAGTAAATTTATTGTCGTAAGGGCTCGCGTTCGCAAAATTCCACAAATTAATTGACACTGAGAACGAAGCGAAGCAAAAAGCGTAGCATAGGAGAAACGACCATCTTCATTCGTCTATGGTCTGTCTAGGGGAGACTAGGCAAAACTAGCCGGGGTGTATACTAAATCAGATTTTTTGCACCTTAGAGAAAATGAGCCGGTATGAGCTGTGGTCTCCGAAAAATTAGGAGCGAAAGGACGCAACTAGTTCCGGAAGGAAGCTGAGTTACTATGCACGGAAAGAGAGGCTGAGCGTCGACGACCTCTGCCCCTTTGCCGAGCACGCCCGGATGAACGTCTCGAGCGCCGGGCACGACGGGTGGATGAATGATCATCTGGCTCATCTCTGGGCTGCAAAGATTGAAGGCGCTGCAGGCACGATTCCCACATAGACGAAGGGGAGTAGCACACCACGCAAGTGCGCAAAGTAAAGGCAACAAACAATCACGCAAACGCAGGGCAGTCACCAAGTCAAGGAAAAAGGCGTCAGCGAATGGATGATCGAAGTGAGGATTAAAGCGCACCTGCAAGTCCCATTCATCGTCGCGACGACACTGGTCTTCCCGGTAGATTTTATCAAAGGTCATTCTAATCTCTTTCTGATCTAGAATAGAAATGTCCCACGCCCCGTCGGGGAGAGGAATAGCTTGGTGCCATGCCCGCCTTTGCTCATCCTGGTAGACGAATAACGCACGCTCTGCAAGAGGGTTGGTTGAATTCCAGTAATCATGGCACATTAACGCTTGCCAGAAGGCTGCAAGCATCTGGATACGCCAGGCTTCCCAACCACATTGTTTGAACGACGCGAGTGCGCGAGGGACAGCCTGAGCGAAGTCGATGGCGGTGAGGCTATGGTCAGGAATGACCCTAGCATGATGAGCAGCACCAGCTGTAGTGGAGCTCCCAGGGCTTGCAGAACGTCCCATGCCTTCGTTGTCGGCAGTGCGATGATTGAATCGTGCATCTGCCTGGAGACCCCCATTAGTCCAGTAGTAAAGTGCCACATACTGGCCTTCAATGACCCTTGTTAAGGCAAAATCAGAAATGAGGACGTCGTGTATGGTGCATGGGGGGCGTGAACGGTCGGGAATTGGAATGTATTTGAGAGGATTTTGCCTTCGATCTTCCTCTTGCCTAGCCGCCCCCTCGAGACACGAGACTTGGAGCTGACCGTGAACGAGGCTCTGCTGTTTTGTGGCGGCGGCTTGGTCTTCCTGAAGTTGCCGCTGCCACTGGACCTTATGAGTGTTGCTGGTAACTACCCACACAGCTTGCAAATTTTCGACTACTTGAGCGTCGTTGTTGTTCGGAATAACAAGTCAGGCGCTACTGGCTTGATAGATGTTGGAGGCAAAGTCCGGACAGTGTTCTAAACTCGGATCAGATGCAAGCCTATTCATAGTGGAACAAGGAGGTTGGCTGAAGGACCTGAACTTGAAGCATTAATAAGATTTTCGTGTAATACTACGCTTGGCTGGAGCTCGGTGTCAATAGGGACGTTATGCTGTGTTGTTGCGTCCCATAATCCATTTACCCCGATCTCGTACACAATTGGATCATGCGTAAAACGCATAGCCTGCGCTTGGCCTGTGCGCATAATACGCACCTTAAAAGACGATTTGAACCGGCGGGTGCCCGACTTCCTTGACTTCGAACCAACGCCCACTCTTATAATCGGTGATTCTAATTTCTCGTGAGTAATGAATATTGCCAACGCTCGTCTGCACGGCGGCAAACGCTTACTTACCAGCCACGTTCGATTTCCGCAAAGATATCTTGCGAATTCTCGAGGAACGTGGGCAACAACATCTGCACACGGCTTGTCGACTCACCAGCAATCTTTTGCCCTTGCCTCGTAGTCCGTTGAACTTCAAAGATCCTGGCAGACTTCTCTCACATTCTGATCTGCCAATGTGGAACTCTCAAGCGTCGTTTCCTTGGCCCTATTCCCCCACCGCTGAGACGCGAAGTACGCCATCGATCACGCCGCGGCAGACGTTGTGTGGCCATACCAGCCGGGTACGAGGTGTTGTGCACCTGCCCGGCGGACAACGCATCATCACATCTTCGTCGGACAGCTCACTCCGACTATGGGACCTAGAAAGCGGCGCACAGATTGGCGACGACTGGAGAGACGAGAGGGACAGTGCAGGAGTGTACACCATAGCATTGTCTCCGAACGGCAGCACTGTCGCTAGTGGAAGCGATGATGGGAAAGTGAGGCTGTGGGGTGCTGAGACGGGAAAGGTCGTTGCAAAATGGACGGGGCACGCTAAGGATGTGTGGTCAGTGTGCTGGAATGCAAATGGTGAGCGAGTTTTGAGTGGATCTGCGGACGGGACAGCAAGAGTATGGCATGTCAAGAGCGGCAAAACCGTCTTGAAAATCGATACCGGGCACCAGTGGGTGGGGAGCGTGATGTACTCTCCCAACTCGAAAAGAGTTGCAACAGGCGGATATGACGAGACTGGTGTAAAGATCTGGAATAGCAAGACGGGCAAGCTCATCTCCACACTCACACACACTTGGCCAGTTTACTCTTTGGCATGGACATCAGATGGAAAGAAGATTATCTCCGCGTCATATGACTTGATCACGATATTCGACACCGCTACTTTGCAGCAGATCACCGAACTCCATGGTCACAACCACTTGATCCGCGCCATCACTTTGTCTCCAGATAACCGCCTTCTTGTGAGTGCATCATGGGATAAGACTGCGCGTCTGTGGAATCTCGACACGAATCTCCCACTCGGACCACCCATCCAGCACAACGGTTTTGTGGAGTGCGCAGCTTTTTCTGCCAACGGAAAGCTGCTGGTCACCGGCTGCGAGGACAGTAACACGTACGTACGTGACGTTCACGACATCGTCAAAGAAGCTAAAGACCCATTATCCAATACTAATGTGGGTATCAGCATATTATCCACTCACACTTGCTGACAATCTTTGCTATTAGGATGGACACGAACGGGAGGCATCATCTGATGCTTCGGGAATAGAGCATACACCCCGCTCCTCGCAGGACATGGACGACAAGTCATTTTTGGACGTATGTGACACGTTTTGTGAGCTTTCTCAATCATTATAACATCAACTTGCCAGGTTGATGCTACACGGGGTGTTGACGAACTCCCACCAACATTTTTTAACGACATGCAACCCGATGTTCATGTGCGTCATCAGCATGTCTATTAATTAATTCTTGTCTGGACCTCCGTACTTCTCAGTGTTCTGCAAAGGGTGATGCCCACCCTCATTCCTCTGCCAGTGCACTCCTCGGCCGCCTTTCCTCGCTCCTCCACCGCTCTCGACCCGACGGTGAAGCGACTAAACCTTCGCAACTCCCAAGGCCTTCAGGGTTACATTCACATGTGCTCATCGCTCGCCTGTCCTCACTCGTCCACCGCTCTCCACCCGATGATGATGCAGCAAAGGAACTCCAACAACCCTCCACGCCTTCGGGGTTAGGTCCGCATGCGCTCCTTGGTCGTCTGTCTTCACTCTTGCCCCACTCTCGATTCAACACCGACTCAGCAACCGAACCTCAACATCCTCCAACGCCTTTGGGTTCACGTCCAGGTGTACACATTGGCCGCTGCCTGTCCTCACTCTTCCGCTCTCCACCTGCCACTATTGAAAAAATCGAACCCTTGATGTGCCCAATGCAAACTACCCCTTCCCGTCGCAGTCCCCATGTCGTCGAAGTGGCTGCAATGCGGGATAAGCAGGTATGTCTTTCTTCAGTGTACTTCGATTACTGGGGTTTGATGATTTCTGTGCAGGCATTGTATGTTGCTCCACGACCGGAACGAGATCGTTCACGCACAACCTGGTCTGCTGGTACTGCTGTAACAACGGCGCAGTCAGGACCCCTCTCATTATGGGCTCATCTCGTGCTTTTTCTCTGCTGTGCATCTCCTCGACAGGCGGAACAAACACAGGATCAACCGCAGGGCCAAGTCCAAGCCCAGGCATCATTGCAAGCTCAGCCTGCTGCCGCCTCGACGTCCACAACACGGACACCTACTGCAATTGATACGAGTGCTACCGCGCCAGGTGCAGAAAGCGCGCAGTCACGTGTTCCATTGCGGGCTCGTTTCGTGCTTTCTCTTTGCTGTGTATCTCCCCTACACGATGATGGTCATTGATAGTAACACTGGCGTGTGTGGATCACTGTTTCAGCTCTGCGTCTAGTTCTTTTGAGACAGTTGTCATCTATCAATCGACGTCTTTCGCTAGTACATCACGTCCGTTTAGAGAGATTTTCAGGACTTTCTCAGCCTCAGATTATTTTCAACGCTATGCCTCAAATATACTCCCAAGCAATTGCTGGAATCTGAAAAGTGCTTTAGGTGAAAGACGAAGCTCTGGTTCATTCCGTCAACATCATTACTGTGTACCCGACAACATGTTCGTGTATCCTGACCTCATTGCAGTTGTGTTGTAGAGACCTGGATGTCGCGGTTCTGCACGCCTAGGTTGAATCTTGATCTCCAGCCTGAGAGATGCGGCGAGCCTTCTCCCGCGAAACTTCCAGAAAGGACAAGGGATAAGGTAGAAGCACTATACACTGTCACTGCATGACTGGCTGCATTTAACGTACAACCCGCTACCGATGCAGGCTGGCCACCAGCCTAGATCGCGGAAGCATTTACTAACATGCAGTGTATGCCTCCGCTATCTAGGAAAGTTGCGCTGCCTGATATCGCGTCATGCTCGAGTGTGAGGCTCCGTGCGACAAGGAACTACCAGAATGATTGTCGACAGCGGAGAACATGATACGAGTTAACGTAGATAGAGACGTGCGAGTTCGA